TTGACTGAAAATGGAACCAGAAACCTTTCCATTCAGGGGATGACGACCAACCAACTGAGCCACGCTGGTCAGAGCAGACCTGTCATTTCCTGGCTCAGAAACCTCTACAGTTCAAATTCTTGGTCTGGCATCAGACTCTTGATATACTCTCCCCCTATCTGGTCCTTTATTATCAATTAGGCCAGTTGATTCAGCAAAACCCAAGTAAGGTCTAAACTTTATAAAAATGCATCAACACCTAGATTATCTTGATTTAAAAGAGAGTTTTATTTTCTACAGACTATAGAAAAATCTTTAAGTCTGGAATGCACACTACTTAGTAAGGAAATGAAATAATGCCCTGTGCTCATTAGCAGATGCTTTCTTTTGTTTTATTTATTGTTGTTAAATGTTGTCTAATTAAGCAAGGTGAAAAAACTTAACTCATAAGCAACCCCCCAATTCTCAGGAGTGAATAATCTACAAGATTAAACCACATCTTCCACATTTGATCTAACAACCTTTGAAGCCGAGACCAGTGATGATCAAGGAGCGCCTTCAGATACCATTTTAGGGAGACGAGAGGGATTAATTGTGTTCACAGCCTAAGCTTCAGCAATTGCATATTAATCCCAAGTATTTGGGTGATATTGAGAAATCTGATTTTCTCAATATATATTGTCCAATTCAAGCCTAAATCTAAAAATGTCTGTTCATTCTGTACATTCTTACTAAACATCCATGTATCAGGCATTAGCCCAGCTAAGTACTGGGGTCACAGTAGTAGACCAGAGATACCCTCCTTCATTGCCTTGTGTGCTCCCTGAAGGAGCTCATGAGTAATGTGATAGACATCAAATAAGAACATTTTTAGGGAAATAAATATTGTAAAATGGAAAAGACTAGGGTGCTAATATGAGTGTTATTATTTGTGAGAATAAGAGCACATGGTTTTACAGGGACCAGAATGGCCCTGTAAAGGAAAGGACCTCTTGAGAAAGTATGTACATGTGGTTGCTTTCTTGGTTCATCCTTGTCCTTGAGTTTTTGGACTTATTTCTACTGGTTTCTCAAAACTCAGCTTGGATTTCTGGTCCTTCTAGAAGCCAGGCCTGAATTGGTCTTCCAGACTTCTTGATACTCGCCCACACTCTGTGTATTAACCTTAACTAAGCATTAAGCAAATATACAGGTATGAAAATTATTACTCATCTATCTTCCCAGTGGATGGTGAATTCTTAGATGGTACCTCTATATCTTAAATGCCTAACAAGTGTTTAATAAATTTGATAAGTTAATGAATGAAGATTTAGCAAGGAAAAATACCAAACACTTAATTTCTGCTCAGACATTAATAGGTAAAACCAAAGATCAAACAGGTAAAGGCGTTAACCATAGTATTTTTGTTAGAGGTTTGGAGCACAGCACAGGGCTGGGTTACTCATTCTGTGCTTCGGAAGTTGACAGAAGTTAGAATACTTGAGGCCATCTTTTGTGTCTGTGTGTACACACACACACACACACACACACACACACACACACACACACACCAAGGTCTCAGAGGATACTTTGCCAGGATTTTCTAATTGTAAAATAAATATGCCATATATATATATATATATATATATATATATATATATATATATATATATACACACATACATAAATATATATTATGTAAATCATGTGATCTTTCTAACTGAGCATGCATTTATTTTAATTAATATAGATGCTTGAATATAGAGTTTATTGAAGGAATAAAAAGTGGTCGTACCGTGTTTCCCCAAAAATAAGACATCCTACGAAAATAAGATCTACTTACAGGTTTCCTTCTGAGTGAAATATAAGGCATCCCCCAAAAATAAGGCCCCCCAGGCTAAACATGAGAGATTTGGTCCACTGATTCTGAAAGAAGTGGAGTCACAAGAAATTTACCAGGAAATTCAGGAATTGGATTGTTATGATGGTGTTCCAGAAGATGATGACATGATTGTCATTGAATAAATGAGTAAATTCTTGATACTGTAGGATTCACAGTTTGTCTGGTTTGTGTTGACAACTACCGTACTACTGTACCGTATACAGGTAATACATTTCCTTTATTTTCATTTAACAATAAATGAGTACCGTATTCTTCTTCATGGAAAAATAAAACATCCCCTGAAAATAAGACCTAGCGCATCTTTGGGAGCAAAAATTAACATAAGACACTGTCTTATTTTCCGGGAAACAGGGTAATGCCAGGAGGTGGTATACCTTATAATCCAGCCTCAGAAGAGAAAAAGAGTATACAGAGTGGTTCAATCTGGGAATAAGAGACTAGACACACCAGAGGCTGAAAACCTCAGAGAGGTTTATCTAGTTCAATCTTATTTCATGAGAAAAAAAAATGTACACATATGCATTGGCTCAAGGAAGGGAACAACAGGTATGGATTTGAACAGTTACATTCAGAACACAACACGGCAGAGAGATTAAGAACTAGACAGGCCCAGGGCCTAAGCAAACTATCAAACGCGTTTAATCCTTGGTTATGTTCAACTATAAAATGGAGACTAAAGTAGCGACCACTTGGTAGGAGTACTGAAAAGATTAAATGGGATGTGTAGGAAACATTCAGCATAGTGCTTGGCATGTAATAACCTTGCAGAAGATTTTATAAATCTTTTAATATCAGTTTACAACATACTATCAACTACTGTAGAAAGTATAACTATCAGACACTAGTCTTGTTTAAGTACATGAAAACAAAAAGTAAAAGGATTATGTGTTACATTTCAATCACATAGTTCAGTTTTCAATGAAAATAATTTTCAGAAATAGAAAATTACAAATAGGCTTGAAATGTCAACATTTTGTAAAAATAATCATGATTCTTGTAATATTCCTTCCTTATCATATTCTTCATTTTTCAACATCCATTCTAATAAATCTATCTTTATACATACTGTTCTTAAAAGATTAATTTGGTCATTTGGATTTTTCTCTCACTTGCTTAAAAATGTGAAGTGAAAACACAGCAGAAATATAAATAAAAAATTAAGTTTAAAAAACATGTCAACCCACTACATTTATATTACAATAGAGAATTTGATATTTGTGTTATATCTCCTTTGGCTGGCTCTATAACCTACTAGCTTAATATTACAATAGCCTAGGACTTCAGATAGTATATATCAGGTTTAGTAAAGATGGAAATGCAATGCTTATTTGCTTTTACAAAATGGATTGAAACATCACAATTTATATGTAATTTACAGGAGCCTGGACACTTTCCTAGCATGACAGTCACAGAAGGACTGGGTCCCTGAGGCCAGGGCACAAATTTATCTTAAGTAATTTCCCCCTACCTTACACCTAAAGTATTTATTGAAACTTCAGCATGGCAGGGGTATAGATATGCCATATAATCATACTAGAGGCCCGGGACATCCCTCTTGCAATCTGGAACCGCTGGCTCCTAACCGCTGGCCGGCCTGCCTGCCTACCTGATCGCGCCCTCCCCCTCTCCCCAACTGCTCCCCTGGTGGCCTGGTTGCTCCCTAACTGTCCGGAAGAAAGTAGGATATCGGAAGATGTCTGGTCACCAAGTCTAATTAGCATATTACCCTTTTATTAGTATAGATCATGACCATTGTGTTGCCTATGCTTTAATGACTTACAATGTGGGCTGCATTATTTATTTTATTTTACTACTAATAAAAAATAATCAAAGGATCTATATATAATCCAAAGAAAAATGCGATGGAAATCAGAACTGCAACATGGCCATAACTATGTCAATAACTAGATGTGTAGTTTTGAGAAGTTTTTAGCCTGAGTTTCTATGAAACACATTATCTATGAGGTCCAGGAAAACACTGTCCTCTACACTGTTTGCCATTATTTCGAATGTCACAATAATTCCAAACCGTAAACCCTAATAAGAAATTAATGATCTACAACAAATTTATCTGATTTCTTACAATTCTTTTTTACTATTAGAGCAGGAGAAGGCAAAACAACAACAAAAACTTACTGTTGAAAAATGTCAAAAGATCTATATAAAAATTTGCTGTAGGGTTTCACCTTTCCTCTTCTTTTTAAAGCATCTATTATATGTTCTTTACGTTGAGCAGTAGATCATTATAACCACGTCTTTTACTTACCTCATAATTATTTTAGACTCTCTTAAAAATTTGACACATTTCTCTACTTGTACATCACAATTAGTGCTAAAACTTAACTACTTAACTCATCTGTACTCCAAATCACCCTTGAATGCAATCTGTCAAGTATTTTCCATTTAGAAATCTGGTGAAGTTGGTGACACTCTCACCCTGAGGAAATGGCAATCACAATGGGTGAATTATGTTTTGACTAAGGAAGGTAAACAGAACCCCATAATACATACAGTGAGAAAAAGGGAAATAAAGTAAATAAAATCAATCAACACAAACCGGCATCTTGAGACTGGTATGCAGTAGTTGGGTAGAGATTTCTGAAAGGATTCAATCTCATAAATACCAGAGACTAAGTTAACTCACCTTTTCAGTGATTCTAGCACATCCATCCATAATAATATCACATGAAGCTCATCTGCGTTAATAATTTTGTCAAAATGCGGATCATAGTATTTCAAACTGTACTGGCAAATGTCATAGAGTAAAATAGGTAACAATTCAACACTTCAAATTGCATTTCCATGTATAGTAAGTCCACTACTTAAAATAGTAATATGAAAGCACAATGCTTTTGAAAGAGTACACTGGACGACACTGATCAGAAATATCTGAAGTAATTTCAAATAATAGAAAAATTCACTCAAGACCTCAAAGAAGAACTCTGAACACTAGCTCAGGCAATACTGTCAGGCGGCAGAATCTGAGTATACAATCTTATAACAAATGTGTAGATCCACACATTTTTACTATTATAGTTATATTGAAACTTGAGAACTTCACAGCAGTCTACTGAAATCACAGATCAATGGGATAAAAGTAGATAAGAAGAATGTGCAATTTATGAATACTGTTTATTACCATGGTTACAAACTTTCAGAATAGGCCTCTGAGACATGGGACTGAGACTCTGCCGAATATCTGTTAAAACAAAAATATAAAAGAAGTTTAATATAGAGGTCTGTTCATCTCAAGAAGTGTAACAGTATATTTTCCAAGTTTAAGTATATCTAGAAGCAAAGCAATAATGTTATGACTTTTACTTCCCATTTAATTATGCTACTGTGAACTCCACTGGGATGAAGTACATATGGCTCTTCAGCTGAGACTTGTCACACTAATCAGGATTTCCTAGGTTCAGTGCATTGATTTGTAATGTGCTACTGACACCGGCCAACTGGAATGCTTTTCTCTCTGACATTTGTCATCGCAAGGGAAGGATTAAGAAAACTTATGAAACTTCTGAGGAATGGTTGCCCATGGCACTACATTCTTGACACATGACTTTAAAAAAATTAAAAACTATAAAAGGGCTGTTCTTTGTGGTAGTTCCCTAGAAAGTAACATGAAACAAGAATAATGTTCACCTTTTGGCTTCGGTGTCCTTTTTCTTCGATCGCGGAAGGCAGCCCCCGACTGCAAGGCCTCCAGCAGACTATCCATCACTCCTGTCTCATCACCCTCTGTGAGAAGAGATGCAGGGGTTACCATAGCAATGTCAAGAATACACAGAAACCATGATGGTGATGGTAGGGGATATAAGATCAGATGCCAGGACTAAGCCAGCAATTTCAAAATATGATAGGACTTTATTTCTCTCATAAATCAAATAGCCTTTAATGAAACCTGTCTCATTAGTGCTGTGCTACTGTCCACTATGAGGACTGAGTTCCATTGATTCACTTCAGAGCACTGCTTTTATAGGCCAGTGACACGATAACTTTAGAGAATGTAGTTCTCATCATATCTGTGTCTTGGGTTATCATAAATATCATTTCCCTTGTAAAAATGGATTATTTTCAAAGCAGCAGCTTTAGTTCTGAAATCGATCAGGTGTGGAAGTGCTTTTGTTGGTGCTATTGATATTCTGCTGTCTAAACATATTGCACAAAATTGTATTTCCACGCTAACTTTTGAGAACATGACTCCAACAATTGATTGTTAATATCAGAGGATAATTATCCCCTAACTTTAGGTGACATACAACAATCACTATAAATTTTTACAGAATGTATGAAAAGTCTGTCTTCTATAATAAAGAACAAATGGAGGATTTCAAAAACCAAATGGAGGATTTGTTTTTTGAACCACATTATGATTAGTTTAAGTTGATATTCTGTATATGATTAATGATGCAATTGTAGGGCCATTTCTCTCTACTAATATCAGATTTTCTTGAAACCATAGCTACCTCTAGTTATCTATGTTAAGTAATATTTAAAGAAAGCAGAAGAAAAAAAAAACACAAACCTTCAACAATACTACTTGCCCAACTGAAATACAAAGAAATGCTAGCTCTTTTGGTACCTTAGAATTCACTTGTAGGCATCCTATCTAATAAAAGTATAATATGAAAAATGGCCGTCACCCTAAGACTCAAGATGGCTCCCCTCATGTGGACACAAGATAGCCATCATAAGATTGCCAGCAGGAAAGGGCAGTTGGGAGGGACCAGGCCAGCAAGGGAGGAAAGTTGGGGGTGATCAAGCCGGCAGGGATGGGCAGTTAGGGAGACCCAGGCCTGCAGGGGAGAGAAGTTGTGGGGGAGCCGAAACCGGTTTGGCTCAGTGGCAGAGCGTCGGTTTGCGGACTGAAAGGTCCCAGGTTCGATTCCGGTCAAGGGCATATACCTTGGTTGCGAACACAACCCCGTTAGGGGGTGTGCAAGAGGCAGCTAGTCGATGTTTCTCTCTCATCGACGTTTCTGGCTCTCTCCCTTTCTCTCTGTAAAAAATCAATAAAATATATATTAAAAAAAAAAAAAAAGAAGAAGTTGCGGGGGAAATCCAGGCCTGCAGGAGAGAGCAGTTAGGTGGTGATCAAGCCTGCAGGGAAGGGCAGTGAAAGGTGATTAGGCCTGATACAGTCCTATCTACCTTCCCCTGCTTGGGATTAGGTCTAAACAGGAAGTCCGACAACCCTTGAGGAGTCCCAGATTGGAGAGGGTGCAGGCTGGGCTGAGGGACACATACCCTCCTCCCCTGCACAAATTTTGTGCACCAGGCCTCTAGTTTTCTATGAATGTGTATGGCTGGTATATAGTTATGTCTAAAGTAATAGAAAACCATTTCCCTCTAGAATTTTAATTTCTTTTCTTTTTTTGAGATGCAATCTCCTGAGAGAGGACAGATGAGATGACAAATGAATATAGAATACAAATAAAACAGTTTATAAACAGATATACAAATGTGCATCAACAGCTTTTCCATCTGGTTCTAATTCATATTCTTAGAAAATTACTAAATCTTGTAGGTGTAATAAAAAAAAGTGGGTGATAAATAGAGCATTTGGAAATTATTAATTTATATGCAAATTTAGTTCTCAAGTGGCTTTATGGCTATTTTAATTAAAACACATTAAATAGTTCAGACACTTTAATTAGTAACTACCTATTTTTTAATATTTATACTCAAACTCAAGTATATTTTTCCTAGAAAGAACTACAGATATGCCAATTATTTAAGATGTTGAATATATTTCATTAGTAAAAGGAAACACTGAAAAAATCTAAAAAACAAATATGAGATAAATGGCATATATTTAAGGGGGAAAAGGAACTACAAAGAAAATTTGAATTTTCCTTAGTAAGTTTTCTACTAGTAATGGCATTGATATAGTCATTCTGAAAATCTTATGTGTGTATGGTAAGATGGAACAGATGGGTACAAATGTTGGTGACAACAGGGGTGTTCACTAAAGGAAAGGAATTCAAATATAAAATGGTAGAAGGAGAGGAAGAGTTATCAAGTGGTGGATTAGACTTAAATGTGCCATATATGCTCAAGGTTTTGAAAAAACAGTTTTCCCACTTTGTGGCCCCAAAGAGCCCAGTAGTAATGATAATGCACTAGCAACATGCACACCTACCCCTTGGAACTTGGTGTCTAAGTATCATTACTCGCTAACAGGAACCAGAATACTTGGGAAAATGGCTGATTTTAGGGCTGAGAACAAGTTATTGTGAAATGAATCAGGAACACATTGTTGTGCCAGAAAACAAGCAAGTGCTCCAGGACAGAGGAACCAGACAGAATTAGACAAATACAGAACAATTTGAGCACTGGATAAGTAATAATGGATTGTTGCACACTGGAAAGAAGAACAGAAGAATCATCTGTATTGATAAAAATAAAAAATAAACATGAAGCAAGAGAAAGCTCTCCCTTAAAGTAAACTGGGAACCAGTAGATGTCAACGATATAAGGAGGCCGAGTTCCATTAATGTGAAGGAGACAGATATGAGCGAAATAAGAAAGCCACTACATTACAGCTCACATTAAGAACAGATTCTGCCAGAAACCATCAATGATTACAAAAACCAATCTGGCCCAGCAGGTGATTCAGTGGTTGAGCATCAATCCTGGAACCAAGAGGTCACCAGGTCAATTCTAGGTCCCCAGTAGGGGGCAAGGAGGAGGCAGCCGATGGATGAAGTTTCTCTCATTCTATCTCTTTATCCTCCCTTCCTCTCTCTCTAAAAATCAATAAAGAAAAAATTTAAAACAACAACATAACCCCAATCTCTGTAAGGCTTAAGGGGAATAGGATATGGAGAAATCTGATAGATATTACCTTACCCAAATAATCAAATCTGACATCGCAACAATGGTACATGCTGACAACTACCTTCTGAAGTGATGCACTGAGGCAGACTCAATATAACATATGTCATAGTTTGTACAACTGTACTTATCCTGAATCTAAATGGGAAGAAACAATCAGACAAATCCTGAGTGAGAAACATTCTGTGAGGTACCTGACCTAAGCTCTTTTATTTTTTAACATTTTCAATTTGTTTATTTTTTTCAATTACAGCTTACTTTCAGTATTATTTTATTGGTTTCAAACATACAGAGTAATAGAACACTTTACAAAATGTTCTGCTCAATATTTCTGATATCCTCCTGGCAACATACATAGTTATAACAACGCTAGAGGCCAGGCCTGCACCCTCTCGCAGTATGGAACTCCCCAAGGGATGTCCAACTGATGGCTTAGTTCTACTGCCTGCCACCTCCGCTGTGCTCACCAGCTGTGAGCCTGGCTTCTGGTTGAGTGGTGTTCCCCCTGGGGGAGTGCACTGACCACCAGGGGGCAGGCTCCTGCATTGAGTGTCTGTCCACCAGTGGTCAGTGCGAATCATAGTGACCCATAGTTCTGGTTGTTCCTCTGTAATGGTCGCTTAGGCTTTTATTATACACACTAGAGGCCTGGTGCACAAAATCCATGCAGTGGAGGGGTGTCCCTCAGCTCAGCCTGCACCCTCTCCGATATGGAATCCCTCAGGAGAAGTCCGACTTCTGGTTTAGGCCCCATCCTGCAGGGTGATCAGGCAGTCAGACATCCCTCTCACAATTCGAGACTGCTAACTCCTAACTGCTCGCCTGCCTGCCTGCCTGATCACCCCCTAACCACTCCCCTTCCTGCCTGATCACCTCCTACCTGCTCCCTGCCAGCCTGATAGCCCCCAACTGCCCTTCCCTGCCCACCATCTTGTGACAACAGGGAGGCAGCCATGTTGTGACAACATGGTGTGACCATGTTGCAATGATGTGAGGGTGAGATGCCACCTAGGCTTTTATTAGTATAGATTACTGACTATACTGCTATGCTGTACTTTACATCCCATGACTATTCTGTAATTACCAATTTGTACTTCTTAATTCCTTCTCCTCTTTCACCCAATTCCCCAATCCTCATCCTCTCTGGCAACCACCAGTCTAGGGTCTGTGTCTGAGTCTGTTACAATTTTTTTGTTCGTTTATTTTGTTCTTTATATGCCACATAACTGAAATCACATTGGTTCTTAAAAATCATGAATATCATGAACTGCCTAGAGAGAAATGAAAAGAAAAAAAAAAAAGGTTAGGGCACTGTTCTAGATTAAAGATTAAAGAGACATGACAAGTAAATGTATCACACAATCTTTGGTGAGCTCTTGAAAAGTGAAAAGGTTATAATGACATTATTAAGATAACTGGATACATTTTACAGTGCACTTGATATTAAAAAATTAAACTGTACCAATGTTGAGATACCTGAGTGTTATAATTACTTTGTGGACAGGCAGGGGAATCCCACTGCTCTTAGGAGATAGATGCTGACACTTTCAGACTCACCAACAGCTTGCAACACAGTTCTATGCTCCCTAGTTTACTCCTTTGAATATGCTCTCCTCTCTACACAGAGCAACCTTCTCACTTTCTTCATCAAGCTCTCTCATTCTTCTCCTTCAAGGCGGATAACTGTGAGTCCTTTCCTGACCTATGCAGGCTGAACTGGGTGGCCCTCTGTGTCCAAAAGGCATGAGGTACACAGAACAATAGATCTTTTAAAATTTTGTTTACTTAACAGTTTCTACTCCCAGATGATGAGTTCTTGAGCGGGGATTGTGCTGTTCATTTACCTTTAATGCCTACCACAAGGCTAGTAATATAGAAAGTGTTCATTAAGACATGTTGTC